AGTAAAATTCTAAAAATTTAAAAGAATAGGGACTGATGCTGCAAGTTTCCCTAAAAAAAAATAATTACTCATCATCTTCTCCACTCGAATAAAATGAAATCAAAACCCTAATCATTCACTGTGTCCGAGAATGACAATCACACACAGTTTGAACAGCAACTAGTGTTTCCTTCTGCTATCGCGCCTCCTCAGTCGAATCACATTTTGAAATTTTATCGTAATATTCATTTGAGTAGTTAGAATATTGCGTATTGATCGATCTATGGCGGAGGAGGAGGCGGTGGTGGAGAGGAACGGCGACGATCAGAGTGAGACCAGCGATTACACGTCGGAAGACGAGGGGACGGAGGACTACAGGCTCGGGGGGTACCACGCTGTGCGAATCGGTGACACATTCAGGCACGGCCGATATGTAGTTCAAAGTAAGCTCGGCTGGGGTCATTTCTCCACCGTCTGGCTCGCTTGGGATACACACAATTCGGTACGTTTCACCGATTTATTTTTCTTCTTTTTCATAATATGTATTTTTTAAAAATACATGTAAAAATTGTCTGTTTAATTGTATCATATCCACTTTCGGTTACTTTTTTATAGCGTATTGCTGATAATTTTATGGTATTTTGTGATGATATATTTTAGCCAGAGAAATGGAAAAATATATCAAGAGTAGTAATAGATAGTTGATTCTTATTGGCAGAATTTCTTGTACTCATTGTCTGTTATTTTGAGATAAAAATGTTTACCCTGGCCCAGAGGGCTTTCTCAACGTACCCCTGTTGCCTGCTTAAGTAGCTACTAGTTACGAGTGAAAGTTTAGCTGGCCGGAGAAGGTATACTCAACCACACAATAGCTTCCAGTGTGCATGTTATTTTACTAAGATTCATATGATGTACATAAAGATGTTCTAGTAGAATGTTTTGATGAGCGACAAAAAAGGATTCATGTAGCTGATGCCAAATTTATTCATAGCAAGGAAAATGTTTGTTGTTAATTTTCACTTTGGTGAAAATCCAATAAGTTCATCAATTATATAGATATTGTACTTATGTTCTGTGTTTGGTGAATGGGTAAAAGTTATTGGATTCAAGGAAGTGAAAGGCGATATCGACACCAATTCGTGTGTGGGAAAATGAATGGAGCAAATGCACAAGTCTGCACCACAAACAACTTCTCTCTCATGCTTTGCACACACACACACACACACACACATGAATAGTGAATTTAGCTTGACAACCTGCTTACTGTCAGTTGGCTGGGAATATATTATTGTTTCCTTATTTGGTTACACATTTGATAATAGCGGTACGTAGCTCTTAAAGTTCAAAAGAGTGAGCAGCATTACACTGAAGCAGCAATGGACGAGATCACTATATTAAAACAGATTGCCGAGGGAGACCCTGAAGATAAGAAATGTGCTGTAAAGCTTTTGGATCACTTTAAGCATTCAGGGCCAAATGGGCAACATGTTTGTATGGTTTTTGAATACTTGGGTGACAATCTTTTGACCCTAATTAAATATTCGGACTACAAAGGAATTCCTCTTCATATGGTTAAAGAAATTTGCTTCCATATTTTAGTGGGATTGGATTATTTGCATAGGCATCTATCAATCATACACACAGACTTGAAACCAGAGAACATATTGCTTCTTTCAACGATTGATCCAGCTAAAGATCCGACAAAGTCAGATGCACCTCTTGTCTTACCATTCAGTAAAAGCAAGATCCTGTCTGAGTCTGGGACTTCTAAAGATGCAAAGAGCCCAAATGGTGACCTGACCAAGAACCAGAAAAAGAAAATCCGAAAAAAGGCTAAGCGAGCAGCTCAAAAGTGTGTGGGGAAGGATGCTTCTGAGGATGAAGAGCCAGATAATGAGGCTAATAGTCCCGTAGATTGTCATAATGATGATAAATCCAATGGTGAAGAACAGACCCATACTAATGGAGTGACGGATGCACATGAAGGAACTAAACTTAATAGGAGAGGCAGCCGTTCAACAAGGCAGAAGTTATTGGCTGACGTTGACCTAAAATGCAAATTGGTCGATTTTGGAAATGCTTGTTGGACGCATAAACAATTCACAAGTGATATTCAGACAAGACAATATAGATGTCCAGAGGTTATCCTAGGATCTAAATACTCAACACCAGCTGATATGTGGTCATTTGCTTGCATTTGCTTCGAGCTGGCCACTGGTGACGTTCTTTTTGATCCTCACAGTGGTGACAACTATGAACGTGATGAGGTATTTGATCTATTGTAGTAAGCAAACAACAATTTTCTGAGTTACTTGGTAGGTCATAGTTTAACTGCTATTTTCTGCTTGTATGAACAGTTCTTTTTGCATTGATATGTATATTTCTGTAGTGCATATAAGGAAATGCTGTTTGCTTTTTGAAAGGCGCAATTCTCTTGACATCTTACTTGCTTCCATGACTACTTTTTGTTTAATTTTATCTTCTCTATCACTATAATTCTGTTATTTACTCATCAAAAACTTGTAATGCTTTTACCCTGTTATCATACACGATTGATACTCTCTATTTGAGATTCAATTTTTCTCATTTTTTTTCCTCTTCCACCCAAACTTTGTTACTACCAGTGTATAATGTACTGTCTCTGGAAAGTGAATCAGACAATAGGACATTGATGACCATTTCTTCACTAAGATTTGAGTCTTCGAATATATGATTTGAGCTGGGTTGGCTACGAGAGGTTGCGGTGCAAAATTTTACACGTGTTCGAGTTATTATGTGTGGTGATTATATGGATGCGGTTGTTGCGCATATTTGCTGCCTTCTTTGGTTTGCTCCTTTTTCTCTTCCTTTTCAATCTCGTGTCTTCTATTCACGTGTTTCTTTTGTGGTTCTATCTACGCATCTCTTCAATTTTGAAGTCAAAGGTAATAGATTGATGTGATAAGGTTTTGAGCTTTGATGGAGATGAAATAGCTTTTGCAGTTTCTGTCAGAAGTTTTCGTTATTTGATACTAAGCTTGCATCTGCTGTATTTTCCTTTAGCTTGTTTGTGACAGGTTCAATTCTGGCTTCTATTTCAGTTATGGAAAATATTCAGATTATGCTTGTCTTTTTACTTTTCTCTTCCTTCCCAATGTCTAGTTTCACAATGCTCTGTCTTGATCAACATCTGGATCAAATTTGTATAGAATTAAGCTAAAATACTTGTATGAGTTACATATATTGGTTTCTGGTAAAGTTCATATATTGGTTTCTGGTAAAGTTGATTGGTTATTTATTTATGTGCTTTTCTTTGAAGGATCATTTGGCCTTGATGATGGAGCTTCTTGGTATGATGCCACGGAAGGTGAGAATATTTCTATACTGCTTGTTAGGAAGCAAATTAGGATTATTCATTTCCCCATCTGTAAATCTGTGAAGCAAATTAGATCAATTTTGTGAAGTTTCCTACATTTGATGCTTTATCCATATGCAGTCACCAATTTCCCATGCTTCACAAACATCTTGCAGGTTGCCTTAGGTGGGCGCTATTCCCGAGAATTATTTAATAGATATGGAGATTTGAGACATATACAACAGTTAAAATTTTGGCCTATGAATAAGGTGCTTAGGGAGAAATATGAGTTTAGTGAGCAAGATGCAAATGACATGGCAGATTTCCTGGTCCAGATACTCGATTTTGTGCCTGAGAAAAGGCCAACAGCAGCACAATGTCTTAATCATCCATGGATCTGTGCAGGCCCTAAGAGACTCACCCCTTCTATGTCTCAACTCCATGCAATGGGAAACGGTTGTTCAGAAAAGAAAAGGGAAAAAGATGATAGGGAGGCGATGGAGGTTGGAGTAGGAAACATTGCTATTGATGGAGCACCAAAACCAGTTAAAGATTCTCAACCTACGGTGAACCCTCCAAAACAGCCATAGTCAACGTGATCTTGTGTTGTCTTCAAATGAGTTCTACCCTTTGCCTCTTAGAAAATTTCCGTGATATACTTATTTATATTTTCCCTTTTATGTCAAGGATTGCTTCTTACCAATTCTTTATTCAAGTGCTTAGGAGAATGAGAACTGGAAGAATGTATGCTACTTCTTTTTCTCAATACACATTTCTCTGTACAATGTTTATTGTCTGTGCTGGGGCATGGGTTTCAGAATTTGCCTGATTTATGATTTGTTGGACAACAATTGTTTATTGGTGCACTAGAACAGATCTTTATGACAGTATACTTTGAGAAATTTGATGTTGCTCTCCCAAAGTAGAATATGCCAAATCCTTAGCATAGTGAACATTGTTTCGATCTGCAAGACATAAGTTTTATGGAACCCAAAACCATAGTTATCATAACCTACTCAAGCATCAACCGGACCAACGTACTCAGTCAACAAGTCATTGTTTAATTAGTGGGTCAGTGGTTAAACTAGTGGGTCATTAATTAATTTTATATTCATTAATTATAACTATTGTAAACTTATTGATACTCTAAATGTTTACATATTTATTTTATAATTATAAATTCTAATTAAAATTTATATTAATTATTTCTCATTTTTGTATGTTATCAATCAAAAATTTCTATGTATTAAAACATCGGTCTGGTCAACAAACTCAACCCGGCCTGGTCATGGGCCCGGATCACCGGTTTTTTGGCCGAGTTTTCTACCCAGTAATATTAAATTGGAAAAAAATAAAAAATTCATCTGTCCACAATAAAGTCTATTAACATCTCAATATTATTAAGCTATCAAACATTAAATGAGCCTACCTAAACTATTTCAAAAGCCTACTTCTACACTCTCATTACATGAACAACTTGGCAAGTAGGTACTGGACTATGACCTCGCTTCCAAATAACTGTAAAATTTGGATGGGGCAAATAAAGGAACACCTACTTCAGTTCTTGTAGTGGAAGCTCTCCACAACACAAACAGCCTAAAAGCTCAATACAATTGTAGTACAGAGAATACTTGTATGCGAAAAGGGATATGTTGGTTGCTGAATTTGATCCATACAAAACAAGGAGTCATCTCTCCGTTTCTCCTTGCTTAGCAGTCAGCAGTCTCCATGGTTCCCTATAAAAATGACACTGCTGTGTGTGTAACAATTTGTCGTAGTACAATGAAAATATTTATAGTATAACGATATGGAGAAGAGGGTCTAACTTACTCGTTCTATTATTGTGTTTATAGTATTTTCCTTTTCCTGAGGTATGAATACATTATAAAAAACGCAACTGCTGCACCAACAATAATTCCTGCAGTGGTTATCCAAAATGCAAACTGCGGAGCCAAAATGTGATGAAGTGAATAAGATTAGAAAGCAAACATAAGCCAGACATTAGGAAAAGAAACTTCGGCATATACATAGAGATCAAGGGACATACCGCACGCTCCTCAAGGTAGGACTTCAAGTTCATGCCAAATATACCTGCAGCCATGTTTTTATGAGCCTCATTGACTTCTATATGCATGGGGACGACATTATGACTTCAAGGTTTGAGGAATATTTCAATTTCCATTAGAATGCCTAATCAAACATTGGAATAATCTCAGTTTGTAATTTGATTGATTACCATTGCTCACTTCTCAAATTTGATTAAGCCAAAATATTTTGGATTAATTTATGTGTATATAGATTAATCCATAGAGGTTGACATAATGTGAGTGGTGTAGCGTGGGTCGCACCACACTCACATTATGTCAACCCCTATGTATACATCTATGTACACATATGACCCAAATATTTTAGTGACACTGAAGAAACCACGAAAGTACAAAACAGATTTGAGCAGAACGAAATAAATAGAATAAGATTTAACTTGAATGTTGTAAGACGAGCAAAATGTATTATCAAATGAACTGTTTACTTAAAATTTTTCCTCTTACATTCTTCTTAACTGCTCTAAGCGACCACAAAGACGCTAGAGTCAACTTCTTTGCCAGTCTGGCAGGGCCTCTAAGAGGCCAAAAATTCAAAGATAACCTATAAATTGACAAGGTTCATCAGTACATATACTCAGTAATATTTAGTTAATAAATGATTTTGATGCAAGGTATTAAAGATTTAGTAAAATATATAATAAAATTATATGCTTATATCTGAAAGAGAGTGCAAAAAAAAAAATTAATTACTTGTAGGAAAAAAATGTAATTGTGTACGGACGTTAGGTGGGTAAAAGATATCGAACAAAAGAAGAGACACCATATACTGCTACTAATATTGTACTTAATTTTAAGTCTCAGCATAAAGTGTTAGGTTCCAATGCTATCGCTTAATATTTAAAGTCTCGGCATAGTGTCAAATTGTAGAACCCACTTGAGAGTGGAGCTATGGAGGGCCTCGAACTTGTGCCTAAAGAGTCACGTTAACTAGAAAATTATATCGCTCTGTATGGTATGACATTGTTCTTAAAGTACAGAGTTACGGAGTCAAGTATCCTAATAGTACATGTACATAAAATTTAACCAAAAGAAAGCTGCTCGTTACCTGCAACTAGAGCACCAACTGCAATACAAAATGTTCCAACCTGAAGAAGAAGTTCCACTCTGCTTACCTCAAGCCTCCGAGAGCTGATAAGAGAAAACGACCTCAGTAAATAATGGAAAGATCCCTAAGTTTTGACTAAAAATAGTTGTTAGGAATGAACCAAGAAAGCATATATTGTTTAACGATGCTCGTAGCAACATAAATGACTGGAGAACTACTAGATATCTCCCATGACAAATGAAGTTCACTGATATTTTTTATTAACATGCTACCCTCAATAATCTAAAATATTTTAAACACGATTTTCACAAAAACAACTAAATCCTCCACCAGCCAACTTGACTTAATAGCTAAGAGCATCTCTAATAGAACTCTATTTTTAAAGAGCATATTATATTATTTGGAGAGCATCTATAAATTTAGAGAGTTAAAATTTTGAAGTACTTCAACAAATTCTTTATATTTAACACTTAATTTTACCACTTCCGAATTATTTTTTTTTATCTTTTATTTTAACTAGCTTTTCTTTTGATTATTTTATTATTTTCCTACATTGAAAATTAAAATACTTTAAAAGCATTTAATTATAGAGAGCGGGTTTGGCTCTCCAAATTTGGAGAGTCAAATCCACTCTTTAAATTAAAATGTTAATTTAAAGAGTCTCTTGGAACATGATTTTAAAGGTTGACTCTTTAAAATAGAGAGTATCTCATGTTTTAGGAGTCTCTTGGAGATGCTCTAAGTTCCAAGTATATTTGCTGCATTAACAAACTTATATGTACTAACTCATTTTTTATTTCTTGCGTTCTTAGATTAATTTAAAGAAATGTTTTAACAGCTTAAAGATTTTTATCTTGTACTCTGATAAGAGGATATAAAACAACTTAAATCATTGTGGCATGATGAAAGACATATTGCGACAGCTGACCAGAAGGCTGCCATTGCTTCATGTAGCACAAATGTTTTCATTTAAAATTCATTTTGTAGATTAAAAAATAGACGGAAAAAGAAAAGGGTTGGCAATGAACCTAAGGTTAACTGCAATTGAATCTTCCATTTCTTTCGCTGAATCAAGAAGCCTCTCTGCCTGACCATGACAAGATTCACATCTGCAGTTTCAAGACTTTAGTGAGAGGATAGTTAACTGAGATAAAGAATACATAGACCAAAATTTTTAGTAACTCCATGGAGGTTCTTAAGTTCTTAACTAACAATGGCCATAAATGAAAAAGAATAAAACCTTATAAAGCTTAGCTTTTACTAAAAAAATTGAAAGACTGAACAGCTTCAATAAATTAAAATTATTTAAAACTACGTTCAGAAACTACAACAAGCTTAGCTGAAGATGAGGTCAATTAACAAAATGAGGATCAATAATAAAGATGGCTTATTAATTGGATTAAAAGAAAACATTATCTCGTACTGTCACATTTTTTATTGAGTAACAACAGTAGCAAAATTACACTCAAAACACACTCTTCTTTCACGAAATCTTTAATTCTCCAATAGTTATTATATAATATCACAGTTAGGAAAATATTTTTGCATTGAGTAAGGGTTGAAGATGTCTGAACTGCAGCAGGTGTTGCTTCCCCCATGATTTCTGTTAAAAGTAGAAATAAATAATACAACACAATGCAAAGGTAGCCACCAGCCACCCTATATACTCTTCATAGAATTGAAGGATGCCATGAACTACCTTTGGAGAGAGTTTTCTAAAAGCATTTCAATTTCTTCTTCCTCCTCTGCAGAAGACACACTCAAATCAGCATTAGGTCGACTAATTGACAATATGTTCAATTCCACAACGTGGTTTACTATGGTAATGAATCAACCTTACATGACTTACCCTCTGCAATTTGCCTTTCCAGGGGAACAGAGCATTCCATCTCATCATTTTTCTGAAGAGTACAGTTTCTTCCCATAATACAAATACGTCGTATTTCATGTGTGTCCTCAAGAATATCAAGCAGCATTTGTTTGAGTGCCCCCGCTCGTGAGCCCAATTCAACCTTTATGAGAAGTATACATGGTTATTATATGTCAACAATTTCGATGGAGGATATGTTACCAAATCAGAGGGAAACTGTATACCAAACTCTGCTTGCTAATTCGAAGTTCCTCCAATATGTCACCTGTCAATCTGTTTGGCAGAACGTCAAGTAAAGCTTGCACCTGAAGTAAACGGTAGCTCATTCAGTTGTTGATAAGGATAGCAGGAAGATAGAATGTTCTGAAAGCCTAAATTAAGTGCTTAGTGTTGTCATTATAATAGGAGTAAGATATACGCCAAAAACACGACTTTCATTAATTATTTCTTCAGAACGTTGGTTGATTTTTTTGTGGTGGTGAGCAATTCTTTATGTTATGCATGTTCCTGAAGTAACAAACAGTCCATTTATCTTTTTATGTATTATGTTACCATCATCAGAATGTAAATATTTTTGAGATGTTGATTCAAGAACAAAAAAGGTGTCCTCAATTGAAGGATGTTAATATAGGATTGAAAACTGCATTTTTATCCAGGAAATCAGACACTACTGTCATATATAGAGAGACCCATGTAGTATTCTTCTACATAATGCAAATAGCTGTCTCAATTTCGTCATTTAAAAAAGTCCAACATAATTAAAAAAGGGAATATTTTCAGAGCAGAATTAGCATTTGGATCAATTGAGCTCTCATGGTTCCCACCTTTCTCCTCAGTGCAAAAAATTAGGGAGAAGTGAAAAGGCCCTCGATACCCCCACCAAAGACACTTCACAATTGGCAGGGAAATGAGGACTAGAAAACGTTAACTCATTACGTTCCCATACTCACACGTGGTTCTAATTCCCATAATCTCTGCTCCAAACGCTGTATCCGTGAATGGAGTGCTGCTTCAACCACCTAATAATTTCGCATTGGAAGTGGGTCAGATTTTTTAAACAACCAACATTTCAGGTTCACTGTATAGATGAACAGTACATTGGTTAACAAAACACTGCAAAAGGACTTGAAATGATAGTTTCTGCAGAAGGGCACATTAGTTTCCAATGCAAACAAAAATAACAGTAACTCTTCATTGTTTTACAGTAAGTAAAAATGTTATTCACGAATAAAGAAATGAGGCTAGGATGGAGGAAATTTTTAAGCAGCTGTTTCTCCTTTACAATTATGGATAGTCAACACTAAGCATGGTGATTGAAATGTGAAAATATTTCTATAGATGAATTGACTACAGACTTGATAATAGATAAAATGCTCTGTGACTGATGGACTGCTCAGACTAGCAGCAAACACACAGAAACTCCAGATGAATCATTGAACAATTATATGTACAAGAATAGTGTCCACTTTGTCTTGAATTGAAATTTGAAAAATAAAGTTACTGACGATGCAAAATACTGTTAGATATAATTGTTATTTAGTTTCTTTATGGAGAGTATTTTTCACACTATTTTATAGTCTTTTTGTAGTCTTTTCAGAACATTGAGTCGCTGTTTGATACCAAAAAAAAATCTTATTAAAATTTAAGTTAAGGTCAACAATTAATTTTAAGCACACATTTCATATGACCAACAATTTTTCATTCACACGTTCTATCAACCTTTTATCAAAATCTGTTAAAAATCTAATTTTAATTTCTACCAAACAGGGGCTCTTGTTTAACAAACAAGACACCTAAAAAGAAAAGGAAAAAGAAGAAAACACCCAATACCATTATTTAACATTTGAAAGTGTCCTTTTTACTGTATTGCAATAGGCAGTTCCCTATAGGACAATAATTGTATTAGGTCCTTGCTTAAAAGCTTTGGGTCCGTTCTCTTTGCTGTTTTTAGCTTATTTTCAGTTTTCAGTTTTGAAAACACGTTTACTTACCTATTTTAAGAAACGAATTTTCAAAAATGAGTTTAAAATTTACAAAGAAAACGGAAAACGGCAAAAAAGTTGTTTTGGTTGTTTTCAATTAAAACTAACCCAAAACTTCAAAACGTTGAACGACCAAATTTTACCAATAGCAGGATAGCTTAGTTGGGAGAGTTACGGATTTTCTGAAAGTCACGAATTTGATTTTGTTTCACCATAATTCAATACAAGGAATTTTCCTTTTATATGCACAGCAAAAAAAATTTCCAAATAAATTGGTAGGTGGTTGAGATTCAAACTCGGGTCACCAGCATGGAATTTCAATGCCTTAACCACAATGGTAGCCGCTTTTGTTTTTTAATATAAGTAAAAGAACTATATATATATATATATATATATATTGAATAATTAGTTTTTCAAAATTAGAAAGTAAATGCGTTTTTTATTATTATTTTTTTTTTTTAAAACAATTTTTCAAAATGACAAAAAAAACACGTTTTCAACAATCTCAAAATGGACACTCAAGACACAAAACCCAAAATGAAATCAAAACTCAAAACTAAAAATTGAAACACGAAGAGAACATCCCCTTACTTTTTTCAATTTTAATCTGGCGAAACTTGAAAGTATACTGTAATTTTCTCATCTAGCCTTTCATGGACTTCGTGAAAATTCACTATCTTAACGCAAAAATCATTTGAGATCTGGGAGAGTATGGTCTCAAATAACAATGAAGCCCCCAACCATTAATTGTCAAGTTGAGTGCGTGAAGTAGAAAAAATTACTAGTAGAAAACTAACCTCAAGGACAAATGGCATTGATGGTCCTACTCCTCCATTCATGTTCTTTGGATTTAGGCGGGGTAACAACACATCAATAAAAGCTTTTCCACCTTTACTATTGATAATCAAGAAACAAATATTAAATTTACGAGAAACTATGTCAAACATCAATTAAATACAGTAAAATCTCAAACAAAAATATCAAGACTTGTTGATCTTGAAAAAGATACCGATTATAGTTGAATATATAAACATTTTCTTGCATTGCTATCGCTCGCAAAGAGCCCAAGTTCAGCAAAATTGCATGCTCTCGTACCTTGATAAAATACAGAAAAACAAACGTAAATCAATTTGAACCAGTGAATTTAGCATGAATTCTACGTTGTAAGTTTTAAGTTTTCTGATAGTTTAGTATGAAAGTACTGTTGAGATGAGAGGAACAATCATACAGTGCCAAGTTTAACCAGTTTGCAGGAAAAGGCACAGAGATGCAATTGTAACCAACTCCAAGAAGTGTTATTACTTTCCAGTCTTCAAAATTATTTCTACATAAAATTTTGAGTCATAGAACTTCTCCTGATCATATTGTTACACAACAATGAAAAAAAAAAGGTAGTATATGGCTGTATAAAGCAATCAAGATTAGCTATACACACAACCATATTGTTAAATAGTTGCGAAATGTAGACAGTAGCAGAAAGCAATTCATTATTGTTACCAGCAAAGAGGGCATTGAGTTGGTTAACCACAATGATGGATCAACACTCCTAATATCTCGAGGACGGAGACCTGTCGTAAAAAAGAAACATCGTGTCCAGAGAACAATTATAGAAACAATAGGGAAGAAGAATTAACAGACAAACTTTATTAGAGTCCATTATTGAACTTTATTAGAACTGAACATTATTGATATTTTCCAACTCCAAAAAAGTGAACTAAGCTCAGTACATCACAAACTTATTACTCACCGCTTGACTTCAACAAGTGTCGTCTCATTATTTTTCTGGTAGATACATTACCATCTGACCTTACTTCCACAACCTGTTGATGGGGAACAGTGAATGGACATACACATGAACATGTAAGCCATGAATTAAGCTTAATATTAACCAGAGAGAATTCAGCTGCTTCATTTATTAATTTAAATGCCTAAAATGGGCCAATGGAAGGATAAGACAAACATAAGCTCTGCCATGCAATATCTGTTGGAATCACAACAAATTCTTGGCTTGAAATTCCATTATTCTTTGATTTCTAGGACTAAGCAATTACCAATAATTAAACTACTAAAAATAGTGTCTGCACTTATAACACATCAAATCACAAGCAACATTTTTTCTTTCTGTGAAGTGAATTGAAAAATTCATAAATAGAGAGCCAAAGTTGTGTGGCTTCCCTTCAAGATTTTGGTGAGAAATAATTTGATACGTTCAATCTGAAATCTCCCAGAACTTGCACTTGACAGGGAAGAGATGACAATTCTGAACTTATAAATCAGTGGAATCTATTCTACTTCTAAGGCAATCTAAATGTCCTTTCAATTTTTCTATCATAGTGAACTCTTATGGATGTGGATGCACTGACCTGTAGTTCTTCCTGATTCTAAATACATAGCTGACCAGATGAATATGGAATAGGTTTGCTAATTGATTTTTATATTACCAAATAAAATAACATGCAATGTAACATTTCCAACTCCAAATTTTACCAAATTCATAAAGAACAGCAGTTACAAATTTTCCGTTCCATCACCGCAAATTACTTTCATATCATGCATATTCAAAACAATCAATATCAGAAATAAAAATTAAATTAAGAAACAAGCAATTCAGGAAAATGACCTCATAGACAGGTTCACGAATTCCAAGATTCAACGAATCCCCAGAGACAGAATTCGGGATCGGACTCCTCACCGAACCAACTGGAACGTTGGAGAATTCCTGACCAATCACCTCCCCATCAGAAACGTCATCACCGAGTAAATCACCCCCATACTTATTTATTACTTCCGTCACACTCTCTCTCTCCTTGGATTCCGAAAAACACTTAATTGCACCTTTCTTCACTGGAAACGAGCGCAGGAAATCCTTACTCCTTTGCAACAACAACAATTTTCCAGAAAACTCACATTTTGACTGCGATGGTTCAATCCCCGTTAAAATAAGATGAAATTGCGGGTAGCGAACCGGTAATTGCAAGAGATTCGGAGAATGATGAGAAGAAAGTAGAGCTACAGAGGCCATTTTGGAGTGACAAATTCATGCGACAGCTACAAATTCAATTACACAACAAAATCCAATCCAATCCAATCAACTGTTGATTCTAGAATCTGGAAATGTACATATATACGAGTGAGATTTTTTGTGAGAGGGGGAAAAGGAAGGTGGTGGTTGTGAATGGTTAGCATTTTATTGTGGTTACAGTTATTTTGAATTTTTTTTTTTTATTATTTATGACTTAGTTATTTCCGTTTCTTTGATCTTGACGGCGATTTGAGTTGTCAATATTGTATTGGTTTGAAAAGGATATATCATAAAGGTACTTCGGCCAGTTTATTATTTGGATAATTGGCACATAACGTCTCCACATTTTAATGTTATTGTAAAAAATGTTCTTATCTTTTTCTTTTTTTGCATTTTCATTACGCAAAAAGTCATTTTTATCTATTTTCTCAATTAAAAATTGTGAAATGACGAATATACACTTCTTTTTAAATAAAAGAAAAAGAAAAACTAATTGCAACAATAATCCTAATTTTTTTAAAAAGTACAAATGAGTTTCAAATAAATTATTTAAAAGGTAATAGCACACAACATCCCTATTTCTCACTATCACTGCAAAGGTGTCCATACCTTTCATTTTTTAACATTTTAACCATAGTTACACATTTGATTGCATAAATCATCGTTTATATCCATTTTTATTTAATTTCTTAATAAATAACTGTGAAATGACAAATATAATATCATATTTAAATAAAAAGGCTCAAGAATTAATTATAATCATAGTCCCAATATTTTTTAAAAAGTGCAAACGAGTCCCAAATGAATTATTAAAAAATTAAAAATTATTTTTAAAACAAAAAAAATGCAAACGAGTCTCAAATAAATTATTAAAAATATAAATTAAAAAAATTAGTTTCCTTTAATTTTTGATTTAAATATGAGGGTATATTTATCATTTCACAACTCTTTATATTGATAAATTGAATGAAAATGTATAGAAATGATGGTCTGTACAATCAAGTGTGTAATTAAGTGGGAAAATGCCAAAAAAATTGAAAGGTATGGATATTTTTCTCAATAATAGTGAAAGATATGGACATTATATACTAATTTTTTTAATAATTTATTTGAGACTTATTTGCTCTTTCTTTTTTAAAATTGAAACTATGTTGCAACTAATTTTTTTCTCTTTTCCTTTTGTTTTATGTAAAGAGAAGTATATATTCATCATTTCAGAATTTTTAATTGAGAAAGTGAATGAAAGGAACATTTTGGGCAATGAAATGTGGAAATAAGGGTGAAAATGTCAAAAAAAAATGAAAGGTAAAAACGTTTTTCATAATAATAATAATAAAAGGTGGGGACGTTATGTGCTAATTACCCTTATTATTTCATTATCAATAGTTATATTTGTGGTATTTTTCTAACCATAGTATTGAATTTTAAACAAAATGGGAGAGTAGTTTTTCTCTAACACATTAGAAATGCATCTCCACAGTACTTCATTACATCGCTTCGCCATCTACTTCATTACATTGGCATTAGGGGGGATTCAGATACGGGCCAGCAGCCTCTGCTACAACCGGTCCCTCCAACCCAATCCTAAGTTTAAAAATAAAATAAAATAATATGTGTAAATTTTTTTTTCTTGCGTTTTAGCCAACGTGTGCAATTTTTTTCCTGGTTCTGTCCCTGATTGGCATTAAACTTGATAGAGTTCCTCTCCTTCTACAATCCCATAATCTGGTGTTCCATGCTCATATAAAACATATTTAGGCAAATTGTTTCCTTATTAGAGAAAAAGTTACGACTTGGACATTTCATCTTCGTTATCTTCCTACCACCAAACAAATTTCTGACTCTTGTAATTTCGTATGGATCTCAATGACTCTTGTTGACCCCAAAAAATGAATTCAACAGATACCGGACCCACTTTCGCCACGTCAAGTACGGATCCAACACGTTTTTACCTGAATGAGAATGGTAATTCGACTGCAGTGAATGTGGGAGGCATGTCCGACGAGAGATAAAAATGTTAAGATTCCGGCGATATATTTCAGGATTATCACGCCATCAATGATCTCCTATTCAATAAAATGACAATGAAATATGTAGAAAGATAGATATAATGAGTAGATGAGTTCCCATTATTTCAATAAAATCTCAAGTGTTTGTATGAGTATACATTTGTATTTTCTTTGCATCCATCATCCCCTTTCTATACAGAGAATGGTTATTTATACTGTTCTAGCCGACGTGATGATCGTTGGATCAAACCCACGTAGCGACATCCCCTAAGCCGAAGCTTCACATCACTGTCCACTCATTACATTTAATGTTTTGACTAAAAGTCAGCCGTTCTAGTGTTAGGCTGACAATGATTAAATTTATAGACGCTTTATCACAGACGTCACATCAATCAATTCGAAAAGATCTTCGGATCTGGTGTGAGGCAACGTCGATTTTATGAACTTCGGACAAACCTGAGAGAACCTCGGATTGGGTTGTGTCTTGTCTTTGAGGAAGTGCTTCAGTCTCAGACTTGTTAACGTGAGAGCATCTGTTGCTGGGTTAAGGACTTCGGCCCATTTTCTTACTTGGACTTCTGACTTGCCCTCCTCTTGACTCCTTGTTGACTGTACTGCCACGTGGCCCAACTTCTTTAGACCTCGAAATTGGAGGATAACAACACTTATGGTGCGTGTCATTAAAAAACTTTGCAACTAGATCTGAATTTTGCTCTTGTAGTGGACAATTATATTTTGAATTTTTGAGATCACTACACTTGCAGCACAACCTCACAAGGAGGAGCAATAATTTCATCCAATTCGACTGACTTGCACTAATTGATAGTTTAGATACCTAAACATAAAAAAAATTGAATGGAGACTCGTTTACTCTTTGGAGTAATGTTTGCTGACCACTGGTGTAAGTTTCCCATAACAAAAACAGGCAGCCCAACGACTTTCTTACTGCATCCGCCTGCAAAACTTGACATTTCTGTCCATGGAGTCTGTGGAGAATCCATTGCTACAGAACTTCATGTTTCCTCCCTACGATATCATAGAACCAAAACATGTTCAACCCGCAATTCAAGCTCTGATAAGAAAACTTGTAAGTTGAACACCTCAGAATTCTTTGCTTAAAATTTGATCAAATCGGATATATTACAGTATAGTGGATCATTTAATTTAATGGATATTCGAAAAAGTTTTTTATTTGAATGGGATTGCAGGAAAATGATTTGATTGAATTGGAAAATACGGTAGAGCCCACATGGCCAAAATTGGTTGTGCCACTGGAAAAGATCATAGACAGGTTATCTGTAGTTTGGGGGATAGTGAATCATCTTAGTTCCGTCAAGGACTCTCCTGAGCTCCGGGCCGCAATTGAACAAGTTCAGGTACAGTAAATGATTTTATAATCTGATGAATATGCTTCAGGATGGGTTAATTTTGATTGATTTTTTCCCTTCTACTTTCTGCAGCCCCAAAAAGTTGAGTTTCAGTTGAAATTAGGACAGAGTAAGCCTATCTACAATGCATTTAGAGCCATTCGGGATTCTTCGGATTGGGAAACTTTGAGTGATGCGCGGAAGCGGGTAGTTGAATGTGAGTCCATTTCAAGCTTTAATTTTTTTCTGCCTATCCACTAGAACTCTGTAAATTTTGCATATTGAAGATTGGAGTTGCTGCGTGTCTGGCTAAAAAAATGTTTTAATTATTTATTTTTTGGAAAGTTCTTGCCTTTTGAAATGTAAGTTTTAGAACTATAAATTCTCCCAAAAAAAGTGAACATATTGGTTGGAAAAAATGATAATTAACAGTTAACTTTTAAGCTTAGACATATCTGGCTAAGTTTAAAAGTTACTTAAAACTTTCTCTTTACACATAGCCAGGAATAGTCTTTGCTTCAAATTGATCGTGTTGATTTGACTTTGTTTAGCCAAAATTTGAAGCTCTAATTTATTGTTTTATGTTATTTTATGCACTCAAAGCATTTCAAGTAATAGGCTTTGATTGAATTTTGTTTCATTTTTCATCTTAGTGTAAACAAATAACTAATATGGAATCATGCTATGGGAAAAAACCCCGACTTGCCAACAAAATATAAACAGAAGATTCCAATAAGAAATTAGGAAAGTATTTCACATTTTTCATCTGCTTATATTTGCAGATAAAATTATAAAATCACGATTGTATAATTATGGACTTCAATAGAAATTGACTAGTTCGTTGAGGAAGAATTTAAGTAAAGCAGCATTTTCGAAATAACATAAATAAACTCAAAAGATTAGATGACTATATATCAGTGGAAAAAAAAATTACATAGTGCTTGTACTGGATTACCTTATAGTTGAACAACAATAATTTCCTTTTAAAGAAACTTTTAACTTGATAATAATTGGTTAAAATGCTATAAATCACAATGTTACATGATTGGCTATGATAATGATAGTGAATTGGAAATTCTACGGAATTAGAGTTTCTGAAATAGGAAAAGAAACCATGAGCAACAATGGAAAGAAATATATTTATATAAGAAAAACGGGGACAACATTAAGTTTCACTATAAAACCAAGTCAGATTGAGTCATTGTATTTTCGTATCTATACAAATTGCTTAGGTCCTGGGTGAGTAGGCAGTTGTTACCGTAGATGTTAGAATATGTCAGTCAGTGATGTGGATACCTTATTGTCATGAACTGACACCGATGTGGCACCCAGCTTGCCACACTCCAACAGTCAAGTTAGCCCTGATGGTCAATGTATGCTTGTATACTGTATATCTTACATTGTGTGTGAGGTTGGCACCATTATTTATTGGAACGTGCTCCACTCAAATGCCAGTATTGTGCCACAAACAAGTTCCCCAAGAACTGAGCATCAGTTGAGAGGGGGAGATATTCTCTTACATAAGGAAAATCCTAATCAACGGGAAGGAGCAGTCTGAGATCTATCTTAAAAGGGTGATCAACTTATGAATTGTCTGTGCATTTTTTACCAGATCATGCAAATA